ATTGTTGAATGAAATGAACATAATTATTAATTTATTGTAAAAACATGACAGATAATGTGTGAAACAGATCCAGTTCAGCTTGTTGTTTATCTGTTAGTTTCTATGGAGGCTGTGAGCTGTTGAGCTGTTTGGTCTGTTTCTGCTCCTCCATGATGTCAGAGGCTAACAGTGGACGGGATGGGCGGGGCTCAGTCTAGTGAACTTATTGAAGTCTATGGTTAAAACAAATACAGGATTTTTCTTTTAATTTGTTACATTTACACAAACTCCAGGTGAAATGTGGGTCAGAACCTGCTGGAAACGGATCAATGAATGACTTCAGACTAATGTTGTGCGTTGCAGAGTGCGCGTGCGATCACGGGAAGTGCAGCGATGGCCTGACAGGAACTGGCAGGTGTACGTGTTACAAAGGTTGGAAAGGAGCTTCCTGCTCTACAGGTGAGACACCAGCACCAGTTTTAAACCTGTGAAGCTGCGTTCTTCTTCTGAGCTGTTTCCACATCAAATCCATGTTTCAGAAATCAAGGATGACGCCTGTGGAGGTGTATGTGATGAGAACGCCAAGTAAGTCCTCCCATCACTCTATTCACCTGAGCTTATTTAGTGAATCACAACCTGAAAGCAAAGAAAATTACATTTCTGGTGAGGAAGAAATGAAATTAATTGAAGTGCAGGAAATGAACTCGAGCAGAAAGATGTTTAAAATTATAATTAATAAGACAAACCAGGTGGTGACTCCGTGGTTTCAGGGAGATTTCAAAACAGTTAAAGGTGGTGAAATACGACCCACGTTCTAAACCACAGAGCTGAGTTAATGAACCGCAGGTGTTCAGGTGTGACGAGTGAGACACGCCCACAACACAGAGACAAAGAGAGGAAACACAGGAGACTGAGAGGAGGGAAATCACTGAAAACACGAGAGACACTAAGACTGCAGACAGAGGAGAAATGTGACAACTGATGACCCGGAGCAACATCTCCTGTCAGACCGGAGCAACATCTCCTGTTAGACCGGAGCAACATCTCCTGTTAGACCGGAGCAACATCTCCTGTTAGACC